TCATTGCTCTTGAAATAGGTGGCTTGAGCCACCAAATTTCTGCAAAACACACTTACATTTGTCACCAACACCACGGCGTACGGAGCGCACGACACACAACACACGACACACAACCAGCAAAGGAGTACGAGCACTACGCTGGCAGATCGGGATCACTAGTATCGCCCACCAGTTGGAGCGATAGCACATACATTTGTGTGTGCTCCCAATGCTCACAGCAGCAGATTCGGACCATATGCATACGAGAGAAGGGGAAAAAAATACCCAAGAAACAATCGGATCAGAGGCCGGCCTTGGGCGTTGACTCTAATTGTTCTGCCGCCGCCCACAAGCCGTCCGAAGCGATCTCGAGCATATGCTCGCCTAGCCCTACTCACACTGATTCTCAGAAGCACTTTACGTTACTCGACCTCGATAAATTGATACCAAAGTTAGGAAAAGCTTGAATTGGAGCCGGACGCCATTTTGGCAGCCGAGCACCCAAATCTGTTGCTTATACGAAAACACGCTCATGTACACATCGGGACCAATTTATCGAAGATGAGCAAGGTTGAGAGTTTCTGAGAATCAATGTGAGCAAGGCTACTGTAGCAGCACACATGCTCTGGATTACCTGTGGCAGCCTGTGGACGACGGGACTCGAGTGAAACAAAACTCATATTCGCCACGTGATTTTCGGCATCCGTTGTTTTAGTGGATTTTCAACATGTCACATGTGCCCACGTTTCCAAGCAACGAATGTCGACACCGTTTGGCCGCGGCTGCCTTTTTCAGTCTCTGGGTGTGCGTTTCGCACTCGAGCTACAGGTCAGGGTAGTCGAAGTCCTCATGAGCTTCGTGGGCGTGTCTAATCGTTTCTCCGGTGCGCTCCAAAAAGGCGCCATGAACCAACGAACTGTTGAGAAAACATGTGCTCTGTATTTTCGGCCATGATATTATACTTGCTCTGTCCCATAAGTCTGGTCGGTCAAGTTGGGCGAGACCGTTAACGGTGTCCGATGTCTTGGGCGATACTTTTTTCGATATCTTCGGCGTTTTTAGAGTCAAAATACATTTTTGTTTTTTCTTGCGCACTATCCTGCATGGGCTAGCGGCTGACCAAGAAGTAGTCAGGCCGAAAATTGCCGTATCTACCCCCTTTCCAGTGCTTCCAGAGGGGGGGGGAGGGGGGTGTAGCCATAGTCGTGCATGCCGTAGTCGTTAGACCATTGACCTCGCATCCCTACAAAGCCGGGACGGAGCACGCCGGGTTTTCACCGGACCAGGCTCTCACATCACCAAGCGCGAAGCGCCGTGAGGTATTCGGCAAGTCGCATGAAGGGTGCGCTCCATCCTGCTATGGGTGTTCGGCATCTTGTGCTTACTTCCGTGCGTACGGATGACAGCTGCGTATGACTGTGTATATTTTCTGGTGTTTTCACTTCCATAAACAGTTACAAGCACTGTGTACGTGCCTCCAGGATGTTTGACCATTTTAACACAACGTAATGCAATCATCCCCCTTGCGCGGAGTGAGGGTTCTCCAGACCCGCATAACATGATCTACTCGACCATCATTATGGTTACCGCCAAAAAAAACAGAGGAAAAAACAAAACGCTTACCTGGTTGCCGAGTTCACGAGGTGAATTGGCTTGTTTTACAACTTCGTTGCCAAGCGACGAAAACCCAATCCCGATGGGCAAACACCGGAGGGGGGGGGGTGTACTCATAGTCGTGCATGCCGTAGTCGTTAGACCATTGACCTCGCATCCCTACAAAGCCGGGACGGAGCACGCCGGGTTCTCACCGGACCAGGCTCTCACATCACCAAGCGCGAAGCGCCGTGAGGTATTCGGCAAGTCGCATGAAGGGTGCGCTCCATCCTGCTATGGGTGTTCGGCATCTTGTGCTTACTTCCGTGCGTACGGATGACAGCTGCGTATGACTGTGTATATTTTCTGGTGTTTTCACTTCCATAAACAGTTACAAGCACTGTGTACGTGCCTCCAGGATGTTTGACCATTTTAACACAACGTAATGCAATCATCCCCCTTGCGCGGAGTGAGGGTTCTCCAGACCCGCATAACATGATCTACTCGACCATCATTATGGTTACCGCCAAAAAAAACAGAGGAAAAAACAAAACGCTTACCTGGTTGCCGAGTTCACGAGGTGAATTGGCTTGTTTTACAACTTCGTTGCCAAGCGACGAAAACCCAATGCCGATGGCAAACACCGATGGGGGGTGGGGGGGACAACACAAGACAAGAAATCCAAGAATCATCCCGAACCCGAAACCTACCCCGTCGCTACTGTCAACGATCCATGTGGCGTCCCCCCATACCAAAACCAGTATAACAGTGAATCCACACTAAAATCAAGACACTTGGGGGCTCAACACTAACAACAATATCCGGGTTCTACACTACACAGCCAATATTGGGGGACCTATTTTTGTCGTCAAAGACTAACTTTATTATTTTTTTCCATCAGCATCGCCTACGCGTCAGCTTTCCAACGAACCTAACTATAAGGGGCAGGTTCAACGCCGTTGCACCCGAACAACTTGTCGCCCACAACCGACCAGAGTTATGGGACAGAGGAAGTATGTTGTTGAGCGATCATTTCTTCAACTTTGTGCCCATGAGAGTCGAAACGGGGGGACTCGCCCTCCAACGGCAACACCTTGGAATGGGATGCGCTTGTTTGCATATTGTGGACAAAAATCGAGCAACAGGACGAATACTCTTAAGGCCGTATGTGCTTCGCCTTCAAGAGCAGGGGGGAAAATGTGGTCGTGTGATCCCTTGAGCGTGTTCTACAACCAGGTGCTGCTGAATGTCAAGCGTCACTTCTCTCTCTGGAGCCGGAATTTCGTTTCCCGGTTTCTGGTTTACATAAGCGGGAACAAAAATTCGGCAAAACGAGTCTCGACAATAAAAGATGCAACATATAATTGGTCGTTATGCCGTCATTTTCTGGTCCATAGCGGTGAAATCCAGAGGTTGGAAATCTGCAGTCACGGAGGGTTACCAGCCAAAGTATCGCGGGGCTTCGGGGTGCGCGACGTGGCGGACGGAGCGGTGGACTTGCGCTTTGCAGGCGAGCACCTGATGGGGAGTGCAGTTCTACGAAGTGTTTTTCAGGAGATGAGATGGGTGGTTGGAGTTGATTATGTGAGGTGTGTGATGTCATTCGGTGTAGGATGGCACTCAACGGTTGAGATGGTCGGAAGCAACGGCGATTGGAAATTTCATTTATCTCAATGATGTATTTGTTCAAGAGGAAAACGATAGCTGCTACGCATAGGGTTTCTCCATGGTTGATGCGCATTCTCACACTGAAGACAGAGGAAATCAAACAAAAGCTGTGGGTTGCCTTGCCAACACTAAACCCGATGTCTGAAAAGTTGACAAAAAACAAAGCCAGGGACAGCCCTGCACCATATTTTCGTCGTTCTCCCGGTATTGTTTTTCCTAGGTTCTCCCGGCAATCAGTTCTGCTTGACCGATGTCCGGGGGGGATAGAGCCACTTAGCTGTCCGAACAAACCTGAGTTTGACGGGAGCAGTATTGAAATTAGAAATGCATGGATCCTTAAACAACGTATCACGGGGCCGTTCTGATTGAAGATTCGTGATCCCCACCCGAAAATTAGCCCAGCACCACAACTTCGCCGTCAGAGCCGGTTATTTGAGGGTGCGGGGGAAGGGGATAGCCTTCCATTCCCCCCGTTTTGACGTTTGGCATAGTTGTAACTCGGTGCCCCACATGGGTTTGAAAAACCTGGCGACGGATTCGCATTTCTCTGCCCAGCTATACCCTACGTTAAAATTTTCAGTCCGATCAGAAGTTGTTCAATAGGGGGGTATTTCCGGGCCATCCCCGCTCTGTGGCGTTTTGAATGTAATCCTTACCTAAGACAGCAACGTCCGGTGAAACCCTGATACTACCACGATTTATTCTCCGAACCCTCGAGGGGTGGTCGAATAGAGCCCGTGACAATTCATCATCATCCTCCCCCCGCGAAAATTGCACCACGATCAGCCACGGATGGCGCCGATACACACTGCTTTCCCTGCCGAGGTATCCAGTTTTGAAACTCGATCTAGGGGGTGTGATAACTTATGCAACCTACGATAGCCGAACCGAGCAACTCAGCGCGTTCGAGGGAGGTCTTGACGTTACTCCTTTACTCATAGTATTGTTTCCGTTTTCGTCAAATGTGAAAAAAAAAAAGTGGCAGCTCCCCGCAAGGCCTTGGTGTGCACAAACAAGGGATTGCACGCTTCTGCCGCTCATCTATCTTCTCAATAGGCCTACTGTAGACTCGAGTCTCGCAGGTCTTGCTAGCGGTCTCAGTAATGTTGTAGCACTCGCGGTGCGCCTGCGCGATTCTTGTGTCAAATCTCCCGATCATTGGAAGGAACACGCAGGTATTTTTTGGCCCTCGCTCTTTTAACCGACCCGGATAGAAAAGGGGAGAATGCCTCAGTATATGTGCGCAGAAACTCCGTTATCTTCTTTTAGATCGACAGAAACGACCCCAAGATGTCCATGTGTAAGATGGGTTAGGTTTCTTGTTGCTGTGTGCTTGGTTGATACAGTTTGCAACTTTCATACCAATTGGGTATGAACATCTCACATCCCGCGCGAACCTCCACCGCACATGAATAAAATGAGTGGCGCTTAACTGGCACCGTCGCCACATGTCAGAGGTACGCATGATACGAATACGCGGTTACGGCAGCTCAAAAAGAGCTAAATCTTGATTTGGGGCTCGGTACGATCTCACCGACCCCTGTGCGGAATCGAAATAAATCATGTTCTGTGTTATTTGGCGCACCTCCGCGCCATCTCTCCGCCTCTTTTCCCATCTCGTCGATCGCCGTTCGGTGAGAGATCTTCAGAATGCACGGAATGCCGCGCCGTGAGCTACGTTCATGATTGGTGATCAGAACAGACAGAGTCATACTTATTTGTACAACAAGGTCCAGATGTGATTACAGCGAAAACATCACCTCTTCTCCTTCCCATCCAGGTTCAGCGCCATGGCAGGAGTATATTCCCAATATTGATGCCGGAAAAGGGGCAACTTGATGGGCATTCTCCTCTCCCAGTTCGAGTGCACGATATATGGGCAAGGCCGACACCTGGGGCAATGGAGTGAAAGACGCCAACTTATTCCTTGACGAAAACCGAAGAAAACATTTCGATCCTAGCGCTTGGGAGGTACCAAAATGAACGCGACGAGCACTCTCTTCATACCCTTTACCTCAGGAGCGCACACGTTGGATGACACGTTCCTCTGAGTAGCGAAGGTCAATCGCCGTCGTCGAAACTCCTGTTGGAAGCGAGAGGGATGAGAGGGGGCGATGATCAGGCGGTCAGATGCAACGGACAGGTTCCTTAACAAAAAATGAAACCTTGGACCTACCTCATCAAGCATAATGCCCATTGCTCTTGTATCATATGTATACGTACAACGTAGTCGATATACCGACTTTCATACTTATGTACAAGGTCTCTCTTCGGGACGTGGGTGTCTAGCCTCCCGAGGGTGACGCAAGACCACATGCGCACTGCCCGAGAAGAGGCTGTGTGCCATAGTTGGATGGGCAGCAACATAACGCTCGTATTCCGTACAAAGCATCGTGCACGTACTGTAGTTATTCCGCATTGGAGCCAGCTCGAGCGGACCACAGCTTGCCACAGCGAAAAAAATCTTATCTCAAAGATGATGGTGATTGATTGACGGATTTCAAATTTGTGTTCCTGGTTCCTTGGTATTTCTTTGGCTATTTCTGTCCCGAACTATAGTTCAGAAATCTCCGCGGAAATCGCATTTGAATGTCAAACTGCGCTCCCGAACATCTTTGGGCGAGGGGGCTTAGATATTGACTGTTCCAGGTTGGAATTCCACAAAAAATGACGTGTACTCCGACTCCCGTGCGCGCACCTTGCCGCGCGTGCATTTGCATACATATACAACTGCGCCACACCTCACTCACACGGCACGTCGTTGTAGAGGGAGACCAACTTGTACCTGTTGTCAGCGAAATGGCGTAATACGCACGCCTGTGCGTAGGTTGTGTCGTGGGTGAGATGTATTGCAACAGAGAGGTATGTAGAGCGAGCGACGCACCCGACATACACTGCAACGTGAGCCTTTTTTATACACGAATCGCTTGCACTGAGGTAGCTGATAGTGGTTGCAGCCGGGGTCTGTTTCGGCACGGGTGTGTTTTTGGGTGTGTTGTGCCCTCGTGCGATTTCTCTTCCATCACGGGCGGAGGTGCAAAAAACCTGAAGATCCTTCCTGGATAGATTTGTAATCGGGCCAAAGCACCACTTTAAATTTTTATCAAGGATGGAAGATCCAGCGTGATAGTTCGGTGGTTCGGGAATCTCTGCGAGGTATTTCAAACTCAAATCCTCGGGAACCCCAGGAACCCAGTCAAATAATCCAGGAATCTCGAGTTTGACATACGTCAGGTGATGGCAGATTTCCATCAATCAATGAGATTCGAAATTGTCCGAAACAACACTAAAAACAAAACAGTGTTCAATCAACACGGCCGCAGTGCATGCAGCAGCAGCAGCGTCTCACTTGGCCCGCTGCGTAATAGCAGACGTAGGTACTGTTGGCCACTGAGATGACACGAAGAGTCACAGCGATGCAGAAACAGCGAATGAATAAAATAATGTAGAGATGAAAGAGGCAAATATAATATTTCAAACTGTCGTTTTTTATGGTTTTCAGAATTGGTTCGGCAGGCTTTGTCGTAGCGGAACGCGTCCCCTGGATTTTGAGCCATTTTTCGCGACTTTGGCCGTCAACCCACGCGCCACGGATGCCTGCCGAGCTCCGGACACGGGCGTTATTACCGACGAGCCTCTTGGGTGTCCCTGAGAAGGAATCGCGACAAAAGACTCTTTGGGGCGAGAAAAAGAAATGCCGAGGCATGAAGATGACCAAATGTTACATGTGCATGTACAGTTGGAGACTACCGAATCTACGACGGTTGGGGCAAAAAACATATCGACCGTGAACACCAGTTCACGGGTTTCGATTGGAGTTCTAAAAAAGCACTTTGAGCTTTACCTGAAAGAAGGAACCATGGTGTGTTTCATGTCATTATCGTGAGGGGATTCAAGGCGAGATTTCACGTAAACCAGCTCCTCGTCTCAGGGGAACCCACCTTGCGTCATCTGAAAAAGGAATAAAGAGTACTTCTCCGCGTCTCAACGGGACAGCAACAAGGCAAGGGGTCATGCATACATAAATTCAAACTGGTATACAGAAAGTACAGCTGCCTAGAGCAAGGAGACAGGGTCAAGAGCTCTGTAGTCACAGATCTGGACCCACAGACCTGGAAACACACCTACCCCCTGGCAATTTCTCGTGTCACCCATCAACACGCGTCTCGGCGATAAATAGTTCTTCGACCAGATGCAGTGGGTAGCAGCGATTCCCCCGTGCGCGAGAGATATGAATAACAGCAAGAGATTATTGTCGGTATTTTGTTTGCAGGAGGCGAAGGTGCCGGTACCGGCCTCCGGTGGGTTGCAGAGAACGGGGTCGGCGTGGGTGTAGGAAATTTTTGGCGGTAAGAAGTGACACCAATTCGTTCTGGGGTCGTCTGGTTGGGCGTGTATCTATACATTCATGCAGAGAGAGGCGATACTGAATTGAATGATGATATCCTCCTATCCCCGCTTGCTTCTTGTCCTCTCCCGAAAAACTCCAAACGGAAAAGAAGGGAGCGAGCGTGTATTTTTCTCTTTGCGCGGGGTCCTCTTCTTCTACATCATGTCACACAAACGATGTACAGTGTTACCACTATAATGCCAGTGTGCTAGCATCTGTTGTTCGTTTGTTAGCGTCTATCTCGGGGTCGTGGATCACGAAAACAGGTGCGTTCAGAGCGAGCCATCCGTTCATCGATGAAAGGCTGCTTCTTCGCGCCTACCCTACAGCAGAGCAGCACGCTGCAGCCGCTTGTTGTCTAGTCTAGACTAAATGTCCAGTAGTCTACACTACAATACGATACACACTGCTACTGCTGTAGTGTTTACTGCCTTCTCTTTCCTGTGCAGACTCTTGAGAAGTATTGAGAACAAATTGTTGCTTTATTCCGGCAAATGCTTTTTTCTCAACAAGGTGTGTCGCAATTCTTTTTTCAATCGCAGGAAACAAACAACATGGTCCAAAGCCTTTACATACAAAGTAAAGCTAGGGCAGCAGACCTACCACACATCAAATGAAAGACGGCAACCACAGCCCAAATGAGCCTGGTCTTGCTCTCATCAGATAACGACAAGGTACTTTTGGACTGGTTTTTTATGTGGGGAGGTGAAAAAAAAAAATTGACGAAGAATTAGCAACGCAAGTAGTTTTTTTTGGAAACCCTTTGATTTGCCGCGCGGGGCCATCAGACCAGCTATAAAAATAAAACAGCAGGTGTCGACTACCGCACGCTGGAAGAGGGGCCTCCCAGCAATCGGCCGATGACAAAACCGAAGGGCAGGAACAAGCCAACCGGCGGTGTCGGTGGACGCGAGACAAAGGCGAGAAAGAGAGCCAAGACGGCAGCGGCGAGAGATGCTTTGGTCCTGGACAGACGCAGCGCCCGCGGCGGAGATGGCGCCGAGAGAGCAAGCGCTCAGAGCGAAGGAGCAAGCGCTCAGAGCGAAGGAGGCGGCGTTCGCCAAGAAGGAGGAGGCAGCGGCGCGCGCCGCTACACAGCGGGAAAAGCGTGAGCAAGAAGAGGATGAGCGCGTCGAAGCCGCAGCTGTTAATGCGGCGGAGAAGGTGGTTCAGGACCTGGACTACATCGACACATCTGGGCACGAGGTGAAGCCGAAGAAGGGAGAGGTCTGGACCCAGTTGCAGTCAAGGATGGTCCTCATGCTACTCTTTAACCTCCGCAAGTAAGGTCGCTCTGAGAATGAGTCGGTGTTGCAGGTTAGTACATAGCAGTGAAGGTCGGATGGTGCGGCACAGCAGCAGGGCGGTGCCTTTTATAAATTTTCATCTTGATCAAGGAGGGATAACGGTTGCCAGTGTTCCATGGTATCCTCCGGAATATGTGCAGTACACCCTGTTGTTGCTGTTTACAACAGCAGTGTGCTCATTTGTGGTGTGTGCGTTTTCGTCGCATGTACGTTGGGCGCGAGCGTGTGCCGTTCGGTACATGTTTGACTCACCAGTCTATGTCACACACATATTCATCAGGAATACATTGTACTGCTGTACAGTAGTACTTCACAGCAGTACTTTACTGCTGTACAGCAGACGAGCAGGCTTGAATGTGCCATATCTCACAGCTGTACGATGTCCAAGTGAACTGATCTCATTCATAAACGAGGTTGCAATATTTTCTCTTCTCTGGACCTCTCAATGCTGGCAGGTCGCGCGGACTTTCAGGATTGGCCACGACAAGGTCAGGCGCGTCAACAACCACTGGTGGGATCACCGCCAGTTGTACGAGACCACCGCCGCGGGGCGAGGCAATACGGTAAAGGAGGATGATGGGCGACGCCGCCTCGCCGAAGTACAAGCAGATAAACTTCGCGAGTTCATCAACGACGAGCACAAGGCCGGTCGTCAAGTCTTTCGCCGCACGGTGGCAGAATGCATGCACAGGACTTGCAACATAGAGCAGCCGTCCAACCGTTCGGTAGGAGGGCTGCTGAGTAGGCTCGGCTACAAGCGTCGTGGAGTCAGGATCAAAACGCCGCCGTTGAATGCCGAAAAACTTGCTCGCATTCGTCGGTTTTTTGTTGAGATGGACATGGCAAAGAGGGCAGAGGATGCTGAGTTAGCAGTCATCGTGTGCATGGATGAGAGTTTGTCCACCAGGCTCATTGTTCCCCGTATTCTTACTATCCTTCGGACGAGAATCGAGTTGTGCAGGATGGGATTGGTCGCACAACGGGGAAAGGCTTGCACATGATCATGGTGCATGCAATCACGAAGTGGGGGCCGTTGGCTATGTTTTGTGATGGGTTTCCGATCGAAGAGGGTTGGTTCAAGGAAACGGGTAGCGGCAAGAAGGAAATGGAAGATGAGACAGCAGAGTTTCTGTGGCAGGCTAAGTTGGCAAAGGGCCATTACCACGCAGCAATGACCGACTCGATGTTCATGGAGTGAGTTAAACACCGCCGTAGTCCTGCGAACAATGCGATCCCTGAGTTCGAAGGCAAGCAGATGATTCTTGTTCTTGACAACGCCTCATACCACCTTGGATGTAACGCGGAAGTCAAAGTGCCGGAAACCAACACCAAGAAGCACAATGTCGATCTGTTGCGTACGGTTGGGGCCAAGTCGATCAGGGTAAAGGAGGGGGAACAGGGCGTTGTTGCGCACAACTTCGAGGTACCAACAGAGCCTGGTTCCTCATTCCCTGCAGGGAACAGAGAGGGCGGTGTAAGCAGAGCGGAGGTAGCAACGGCCACTCGGGAGAACATCCGCCTCAATCACCCTGAAAGGCTCGAGAAACGGGTGTTGACATTCATGAAGAACAAGGGGTGGGCATTGATTTGGACGCCGCCCTACATGCCATCCTTACAACCGATCGAGCTTTTTTGGCAGCATGGCAAGCAGTACGTCAGCGTTACCTTTGAGTTGAAGCGAAAGATGCGGGAGGTGTGGGTGCAGATTGTCAAGGTTGGTACGGGGACAAGGAATGGCCAGGCCAGGAGGGGGGGTAGAAGGCAGCCAATTCTTCGAAGTTGGTTGAACACGCCATTGGGGAGATTAATTAAGTGGGTCAAGGATCGTGATGGAGTGCTTTCTGGTACGATAGGCAACCTAAACAAAACGAATGGGTGCGACAAGGTGATGCGTCGCCCGTGGGTATGTCGAGGAAGGGGTAGGGAAGCAGATCCAGCAGGAAAGCGCAGAATGGGGTGATGGCAGCGACGAGGTTGAACCACGATAAGATTTTTTCCAGTCTTGTGATCGATTGCTACGCCCACGCACTGTGTGTGCCATGGTCCAACAGCATACATAAGTGATTGCTGTGAGCGGGGGATGCGCCCCTGCTTCCAGCTGCCGCAGTTGTTCTTCAAAAAAAAATCCAAAACATTCAAATGTCAACAAGTGTTACCCCGGATGCAGCTTGCCACACGTCAACTGCATTCATGTTTGATCTTCTGACGTATTGACCGCTTTCGTCATGGAAGCGTTTTGCGCTATTGTATGCCGACAGGCGCTTAAAAATGTGAGTTACAGGCCGACAAGTGGGGATACCAACGTTGGCCGGATTTTTCTGCGCATGTTTTCCAATTTTGAATGTCTGCTCAGATACACGACAAGCCATACCTCAAGCGATTTTCAATATACCGGCATTTTGTGCTATTTTTTTTCATTGTGATCGCCTTTGCCCTGTCGTCAATTTGCGCTATCGTATGCTGTGCTGCGCATCGTATTGCGAAGTACCACTCCGAAACGCATATATTTTGATTTGCTCCCGAAAGAAAGTTCCTTTGACAACGTGTATACTGGTACGCACTCCAGCAAGCAGTAGTCGTAGTGTACACTAGTAGCGGTAGACCTACATAAGTACTACTACTGCTGTAGTGCAGCGGATCTTTCTCCGTGTGTGTACAACTTACGACTGGTTGTGGGGTCAACCTGTCGGATATCGCAAATGCAAGGAAGGCCACCGGCAGTCCAGTACATGCATCAGCACCAACGAGAGCGAGCGGTGTGTAGAGGGGGTGCTGTTCGCCAAGAGCAGCGATGAGTTTGATTTGTGAACGACGGTTTCGTCGACGGATAGCGGAAAAAAAAAGTCGGGCGGACTGCTGTTGACCAGTTACTTGTTAAACAGAGTACAGCAGTCAGTTGGAGACTACACGATGTGCACCAAAAAAGAGGTCGTGCCGCGCACAGGCTCGCTAGGGCTCTAAAAAGCACGCTCGACACTGTATCCAAAAGTTAAGAGGCAGGGAGGATTGCTGTATCGCAATGTGATAGCTTGGGGGAGCCACATGACGTTTCTTTGGCGGTGTACGAGAGGCAGAAAAAAGAGAACTCACACAAAAAAAATACCATGAAACTTAATCATTATGGTGTAGTTTGGTGCCCATGGTTTCGTCGGCGGCAGAGCTGCAACAGCCCCACTTGAAGAGACGCGCAGGTAGCCCTTTCGATGCTCGTTTTCGGGAGCTGCTTTCTTCGCAAATTGGCGGCGAAATGATGCCGAAGGGTCCATTGCAGCATATGCGGTCGGGCTGTGCAGGTGCTGCAGCAGATGACACAGGCAGCACCGGCCGGAGGGGGCATGTGACGAGAAATGTATACCCCCGCGGTCCATGTATTTGCGTCTCGCCCTAGCACATACCTTGCTTGTACATCGTGATCCGACCAGGGGGATGCACCAAAGACATGGGCATCGACTACAGTGTAGTTCTAGCTCCACACCGATGTAAGACTGTGTCGAGGGGCTGAGCACGTGTTGAGAAATTGTTTTGTGCCAGGAGAGGTAAGCGTAGGGATGTAATGCTGTCGCGGGCGGCTTGCAGGTCGGATGGCGTTGAAAACTGGCACACAGTTACGTGGACAGTGTTAGCGTTGGCTGTCCGAGTTTCGTCGTCCTTCGTGAGTAGGATGTGGAGCTATCGATGCGGCAAAGATTTCGTGTGCTGGGCTGTGCAGCGCAACTGGACCCGAAAATCCGAAGAAACGGTCTTCGTTGCCAACTCGCCTCGCCACCGTCCTTGCCGAGACTTGCGCTGCACGCCTATTTTGTCCTAGATCATCGAGCCGCGGCCAGCATGGGGCTGTATCTTGCTCGGTTGTGGAGAACGCCGGGGCGAAAAATGCAAGGGGTTGCCCAAGAGGCGCCTCGGCGCCGCTGATGTGGGGGGGTGTTTGCACTTTTTCGCCTCGTTGCGAGCGACGCCAGGCGAAACGGTCGGCGCGCGGGCGACGGTTGGGGTGTGCCCAGGCAGAGCCGCGAACCTCGTCGTCGTGGGTTGGTTGTGGCGTCATTGAGCTCAGATAATTCAGCTGCGGAGATGCAAAGCAAAGGGATGCTGAGGAAGACAACGCGTGCGCTTGACACCGGTGTAACTTCGATTGAATTTTCTTTCGACAGGGCCCTCGAGGCGTATGTTGCGCGAAGGCGACGCCGCCATTTTGTGGTCGTAGCTTTCGCGAGCCGATGGAAAACGGCCGCGGTCAAAATCTCCTTTCAAATAACCGGTGCCGCGAATTCTTTTAGGTATTGGTATCGCAGCTTGCCTCGGGCAAGGTGCTGATCCTGCACGATTTTTGTTTTCTTGAGGTGGTATCTTGCTCCCACCAGATGTCGCAAAGGCGAAGTTTCAGTTGAACTACACGTTAGTTATCATCCGTTGTGACTCGAGGTGGTATAGAGGACACAGACAAGACGAACATTTGCACCCAATCAATCCATACCTGTGTCAACCTTTATTGGTGCTGTAAATCTTGTTGCATCCTGACGAAGATGTTTTTGCAACGAAGCAAGCGGTAGGCACAGACGGACGACCATAGGCTGATACTCAATCTGATGGGGAAAGCACAGACGAGAAGTCACACATACATACTAGGGCACTTAGCGGGGGGCCCCGAACACTACCGCCATTGCACAGGAAGTCATCCAATTACAAGACAATACAAGGTTCTCTTCGTGTGTTAAGTGGGAATAGCGTCCTTGAGGCGACGTCAGCAAAAATGGTATCGTTAATCCTGTCGCATCGATTTATTTGATTTACTTTAGTCGTCTCCACACGAATGCAGCAGCAACAACAGAAAAAAAGGTACTGTCGACTGGTGACTTCTGCACGCCGGCGCTTAACATTCTTTGAAGCGGCTGGTAGTTCGGTGGTGTTGGGCTTTCCTCTAGTGGCGCAGGCGTGGCGAAATGTAAGTCGGCGTCGAAGATGGGCGTGCATGTATTTCGCGTGGTTGTTTGGTGGATTGAAGTCGCCGGAATCTGCACGTATGACAATTCCGATAAATCAGATTGAAGTCGCCGTCGCAAGACAAAAGAAGGTTGTCAGAAATAGGTTGTAGGTGGTATCATCCATTTGAGAGGCCTCGGTAATTAGCCAGAGAAGAGATCTGGGTACGTATGTATGAACATGTGTAACGTATTTCGTCAAACAGTGTGCGTAACGTGTATTTCTCCGAAATCTCCGAGAAATCCGAGGGCGTGTTGTTTGAGGTCACCACCACACCGTGGTAGACTCTCACTGGAAAAATCGCATACGGACCTACGTGCGTGCATCGTAGGCCTGCGGTGAGATGGTTACCATGTAGGAGAGCAGGCATACTCCGCAGCAGCGGTGGCACAGCAGTCGCGCGCCTAAACACACACCTTCAGTGCCATGAGCAGTTCCTAGCGAGCGTGTTTTTACAAAGCAGCATAGCAGCACAGCAGCAGCGCTTCGAATCGTATCGGGATACAACAGGCTCGTCCCATCGCCGTGGTGTAACAAGGAAACGCGACATATCGTGCGAGCTTTCAAGGCACAGAGGTGAGTATCGTGGCCCTAATTAAGAAGTGGAAAAATAATATCTGTCCGGAAGGTCGGTGGGAGACCCAACGCAGACATGATCCGCACAAAAAAGTTTGTGTGTGTGTCGCGTCGAGTGAGGTGTGCTGTGAATATTCGTCATCGTCAAGACGCGACGGAAAGTCCGCGGATCTCCGGCGTGTTGTTCACATAAAGGACTCACACATTGCCATTTCTTGTCGTAGGTGAAGGTAAGGTCGACAACCGTTCAGAGTTGCAGCAGAGTGCGTACATCATACAATACACACAGTCTACAGCAGTAGGGGACGTAACCATAACCATCATATGTTTCATACAAATAGTCGGTAAAATGGTTGACGCGTTCCTCACAATGATACAAGTAAACGTAGGGTGATATATGCATGCAACCTCGACAAAATCGGCGGTGCATGCAAAAGTACGCGAGCTTGTAATCGTGTTGCATACTTGTACAGCGTTCGATGTCGCACGATTCATCTGCGGGTGCACGGATCAGCGACAGACGATGATGATGTGTGCCAGAAAAGACAGTCATCAACGCAACTTCAAATTGTACGTACGTACGTATGTACGCACGTTTCCTACTGCTGTGATGCCATGCCAAAAACAATTTCGACGGCAAAATGCTGCTGACAGCACACCACGGGCACGACGCGACCGCTCATCCCAGTTGACACCACGGGCACGACCATTTCATCCTAGTAAACAGCGAAGAAGATGCCTATTCGTGTGTTGGTGCAAAGTAGAGATTCGTACAGCCGGTGTCAAACAAAGATGACACAATATATTGTCAAAGTAGTCCCGCCGACAAACATATATGCGCGCGCATAACAAGAACAAATTATGGTTCCGTCAAACACGGCGGAACAATATATCACGGAGCACGTGGCGGAGGTGTGCCCCGAACCTCTCGTTGGCAGGCGAGACGGCGTGGCAAGAGAGCAAACGAGATTAGACGGACCGAGTGGCGCGATACGTGCGTACAGAACGGGCCAGAAGATAAGACACGTCAAAATCGGGTCGAGCCTCAATATCTTATATTGGGCAGAAGGACCAGCAGAAGTCGGCCCAACCACTAAAAACGGATTTCTTATTCCTATGGGCTGTCGCAACATCGTGCTCGTCTCTTGTTTTCTTATTTTCTTGCTTATTTCTGGCGAAGAAAACAACACACCAGGTACAGCAGCAGTGGCTGGTGGATATACATAGCGCAGCCTGGGGCGGCGCGGGGGCGCAGGGGCCGCCGCGAAAATATCCTCCCCCATAGCTAGGTAGCATCGTCAGTGGGACGTTTCTTATTGGACGCGCTCCCCCAGCAACCCCTATTGTTTCATATATCTGGGGGGTATCGCACGATCATGTCTGTTTCTTGCTGGGACGTTTCTTATGTTGTGGCCGAGATTGAGCTGACTTT